ATGAGGAGGCCGGGTGTAACGGCTCACGCCTGTAATCCTAGCATTTTGAGAGGCCAAGGAAGGCAGATGGCTTGAGCTCATAAGTTAAAGACCAGCCTGGGCAACATGGCAAAACCCTCTGTGTACAAAAAATACAAAAATCAGCTGGGTATCATGGTGTATGCCCTGTAGTCTCAGCTACTCAGAAGGCTCAGGTGGGAGGATGGCTTGAGCATGGCAGGCAGAGGTTGCAGTGAGCCAAGATCGTGCCACTGCACTTTAGCCTGAGTGACAGAGCCAGACCTTGCCTCAAAAAGGAAAAGAAAACAAGTAACTTCCATAAAAATCAGAATAATGTTCACCTCCAGCCATGGATGGTTTTGAGGGTCTGTAGTCTTCAATTTCTTGACCTGGGTATTGGTTACATAGGTGTTTGCTTTATTTTTTTTTTCTTTTTTGAGACGGAGTCTTGCTCTTTGGCCATGCTGGAGTGCATCTCACATAGTGAGACCCTGTCTCTACAAAAATATTTAAAAATTAGGGATGGGTGCGGTGGCTCATGCCTATAATCCCAGCACTTTGGGAGGCCAAGGCAGGCAGATCACCTGTGGTCAGGGACCAGCCTTGCCAACATGTTGAAACCCCATCTCTAAAAATAAATAAATAAAAATTAGCTGGGTGTGGTGGTACACACCTGTGGCATCAGCTACTTGGGAGACTGAGGTGGAAGGACTGTTTGATCCCAGGAGTTCATTCAAGACCAGCCTGACCAATACGGTGAAACCCAGTCTCTACTGAAAATACAAAAATTAGCCGGGCATGGTGGCAGGCACCTGTGGTCCCAGCTACATGGGGCTGAGGCAGGAGAATCACTTGAACCCCAGAAGTGGAGGCTGCAGTGAGCCAAGGTCATGCCATTGCACTCAAGCCTGGGCAACAGAGTAATACTCTGTCTCAATAAAACAAAAACAAAATCCAAAGGATTGGTGATTGCCAGGGGCTAGAGGGAATGTGCGTGGGAGTGGCTGCTTCATGGATACTGAGTATCCATTCAGGATGATGAAATGTTCTGGAATAAGATAGGGGTTGTGGTTGCAAAACTTTGTGAAGACTGAAAATCAGTGAATTATACATTTTAGCATGGACTTTATGTTATGTGAATTGTTTTGTTTTTTTGGAGACAGTGTCTTACTGAGCCTAGGGGCCAGCTAGGAGCGTCGACGAGGAGAGGCCTCAGAGACTGCAGCCTAAGGAGGCTGGGAAGACAGGGCCAGATCAGAGGCCTTGCTGGCCCTAGGCTTTTATTCCTCTTGGGAGGTGGGCACAGGTCTGATTTATCATTGGTAAAGATCAATTTGCTACTGTGGGAGCAGGGACCACTGGAGGTGTGATTCAGACATGCCATGGGTGGTCTCAGACAGGGAGCAGAGGCTTCTGAATTGGGTCCCCCAGGATGGCAGGAACCAGGGGTGCCCTGGATGTTGGATCCTTGGTTCCTGGCAGTGGCTGAGTAGGTGCCCAGGAAACATGTCAGGATCAACAGCATGACTCTCCCCATCCAAGCCTTTCTCTTGAGTTTCATGGTGACTTCCAGGATGGAGTGCAGTGGTGGCATCATGGGCTCGCTGTACCCTCATGCTCCTGGCTCAGGTGCTCCACCCACATCAGCCTCTACCCAACCTCTGAGTAGCTGGGACCACAGGACCACACCCAGCTAAGTTTATCTTTGAGACAGTCTCTCACTATCTTGCCTAGGATGGTCTCAAACCCCTAGCCTCACAAGCTGTAATAAACACTAGGAAGGAAACAGTACAAAGGAAAACAGGAGGGCTGGGCAATGAGGAGAAGGTACTTTAGAAAGGGTGGCCCAGGAGCCACCACTGAGACCTGAATGACAGGAGCCAGCTCAGAGAGATTGGGGAGGGATGGGGACAGCTGAAGGGCTGGCAGTGGGGGAACAATGCTCAGGCTGTTCAATGCCTGCTGCTGCACTGCAACTTGGGGCTGTCACCTCGCTTACAGGTATCAGCCACCACTTACCAAGTTGCCCATCTCAAAGCCCATCCCCTCCTAGTGTGGCTGTGCCCACTCCCTGGATGTGAAAGTGGTCTTCCTCACGCCACGCCTGTTGTCCCCCAGATCTTGGGAACACCACAAGGCCTCAAACCTTGCTGCAGCACCAGGGCCCAGAACAGGGCTGTGGGCAGCTCAGGATCCAGGCCTCAGTCCGCACCCTTCTGGGCTAAAAAAAAGGCCTGTCTTCTTCTGAATGGAAGCCACAACCCCAGCTGGGCGTCTTTAGACCCTCTCTCAATGGGACAGGTCTAGATCACAGGTCAGCTAGCTTCTTCTGTGAAACAGTGACTCTCGCACCCATCAGTGCCGAGACAGCTACCCCACCCCTCCTGCATGGCCAGCCATCTCATCACCTCCAGATGGACAAGCCGACATGCAGTGTTTTGATGACATGGCCTGAATGACAACACACAAGGCCAGAGCTCCCCAGAGCTCTTCAAAAAAGGAGGCACAGTCGAGGCAGGTTGAGAAGGCCAGCTGACTCTTTATTGCTTGAGAGCAGGGGGCTCAGGAGCTCTTGGTGGGGCGAGTCCGCTTCCTCTTCACCATCACAGGCTTCTGGCTGCGCAGGATGGCGCTGGCCCTGCGGATAGCTGCCTAGGGGGCGGGGAGGGCAGAGCAAGGCTCAGCTCACACACCACTAGCCACCCCCAGGCTCATGCTGGGGGAGGGGGGAGTAGGCTGAAAGCAAGAACCCATCCCTCCCCAGCACATATGCAACCAGAAGTGGGAGGCCCTTCCCCACAACACTGGCCAGCCTCCCGCAACCTGACCCCCAACGCCGGCTCACCATGCGCAGGTCAGGCCGGTACTTGTTCTTGCGTATCATGTGTCTGATGCTGCTGAGTGTGGCGCGAGCATTCTTGTTGATGGTGGTCCGCACGTAGGAGGTGGCAGGCTTCCGCTGGCCTGGTTGAGGATGAGGGAGGTCCTGGAGTCAGTCAACCTAACCTGCGCCTTAAGGGCACCTCACAGGTGTGGACACAGTCTCACACTAAGATGAGCACCCTGGGCCAATGGTGGACGCCTGGGCAGGCCGGCAGGTAGCTGTCTCCCCACCTGTCCATTTAACAGAAGCTCACTCATCATCAGGGTACTGAGGAGACAGCTTCTGTCACACTCATAGCCCAATTCTGTCCACCAGGAAAACACCCCTTACCTATGCCAGGAAGCTGCTGCTTCAGTCAGGATCTGATCCAGGTCCGGCCAGAGCCTGAGCTCCGGTAATGGGTATGAGCAGCTTCCCAAGAAGCCCAGGCCCACCACCACAGCAGTGGGCATTAAACATCAGCTCATCGGCTGAGAGGGGCTTGACCCCAGAGCAGGGTTTACCCCTGACTCCATCCAGTCCCTTACTCCAGGAAGGGCCACCCGTTATTTGCCAATTCAAGTGCTTTCAGGATGCCTCAGAACGGGGTCCCCAGGCGCAAGCAATTGGCTGCTCCCTGGACTGCGCATCCCTGAGACAGGAGGACCACTAGCCAGCAGGCTGCGTTTGTGCTCCCATTGAATGAAAGGGCCTTTGGCTCTGAAGCAGTTCCAATCAGGGACCGGAGAAAAACTCACTCTAAAAAAACCAAACACAGCCCTCGCCAAGAACACGTGTGAAGCTGGACTCCTCTGTCAGAAACCCCCCTCTCACACAAACTCAAGGAATTCCCAGAAAGGCCTGTGCCTCACAGCACAGTGTATAGGGCAGGGTCCTCCAGACCTCTTCTCCAACCTACACGGGCAGAATGGGAGTCAAATGGCTGCGACCAAGCCAGCTTGCTACGCGTGGCAGCGAGGGCCCCTCCCCTGCTGTGCCTCAATTTTCCCACCCGTGGGATGTAGCCTTCCATCCCCACCCTGACTTGCTTTGAGGATTTCATCTGAAAACGGCAACCCCGTCCCTCAACTCTCAACCGCCGGGGAAGTTCAGGTCCTTTTTCGTTTCAACACTTAACAAGTGAGGACACCGGCTAAACGCGCGCGGCTCCCAGAGCTGGCAAGTCGGCCGAGGGGAGTCAGGTCCCAGGCCGACATCCTGGCGCCAGGGATGCTCGCCGCCATGGCAGGGTCACTATTCCCGCCTGAGAGCAAAAATTCACAGCTCCTTGCCCCAGGAAGGGGTCCGCTCTGGCCCAAGCCGGTTAAAACTCACCGGATCTCCGCTTCATGACCACCACGACACCTTTGCCGTCGGCTGCCGGCTCCACGCCCACAGTCTTGCGGTGAATCAGCCCGTTGTAGCGGAAGGAGTTGCGGGCCTTCAAGTTATTGGGCTCCTGGGAAGCAGGCGGCGCAGGGCATGGAGACACGGAGACACGCGAAGGTCCCGCCCTCCGACCCGGAGCGGGGCCCAGGACCCTCCTCCCGCAGGAGCCCCGCATCCGGGCCCCACTTACGGTGCTGTAGGTCTGCTTGTTCCTCTTGATCAGGAAGCTGGAGCAGTTCCGCACGACCATCCACTGCAGATGCGCAGACATGGCGGCTGCGGGGAAACGGGCACGTGGAAGGCGTCAGACGCGGAGAACTGAACCGGGGTTGGGCCCCGTGCGGACAGCAGAGGAAGAGAGCGACTGGGAACCTGGGTGAATGGGAGACACTTGAGGGCAGACAGCGACCCAGAACTTTGACAGGCGGGACTCAGTGACCGAAGGCGGCGCGCCCGAACTCAGACAGCCGAGACTATCTGCGGGCAACGAAGGCGAGGGGAAAATAACGTGAGAATCCACAACGACTTCAGGAGGCGGGGATGGGGATCCGCCAAGGGCTCTTCAGGCGCAAGGGGAGAAAGCAGGCAGGGGGCTGACAGAGTGGGCGCGAGATGGCGGCTACGCCGGGCCGGCGAAGAGCGCACGCTCACCTCCTATCGCGGCGACGACCTGAGGCGGAAAGAGACAGGCAGGGGGCGGGGCGACGACTTTAATATCGGACACGCATTTCCGCTTCCTCTCTGGGCGGGCACGACGGGGGTCGTCGGTCCCCGCCTCCGAGGCGGCTCCAGGATGTTCGGCTACTTCCGCCGACCAAACGCTCAACGCTCGGGAATACTCGGAACTCTTTGGTTAGAGGACCGACAGAAAGTCCGGAAGCTTTCGGAACTCCACGGCTGATTTCCGAATGGCTCCAATTCGAGACGTCCCGGGACCCATTCCTCCCCGTTGTTTCTCCGGTATTGCTCTCCCAGCGCTTGTCACTGTAATAGGCATATGATGGACGCTCAATAAACTTTTGTTTTATGAACGAACTTGTGAATGCAAGACCTATGTAAGCCTAGCCCCGGCACCTTTGGATATTTCCGGTCTTCGTAAACCCAAGCGGTGACGGCCGATGAAGGCGCCGAGGCCCGCTCGGGTATTTTCGGAACCATCCGGAAACGCTCTTCGGAGAGGTGTGCCTGTTCGGAAACACTCCGTCTTCATTCGGAATCCCTCGGCTAATCTCGGCAGCCCCCTTGCAGTTCGCCCTCCCCAGGGTTTTCTTTAAGCCCTAAAACTGTTCGAGCCTGGCGAGAACCTACTCGGATACTTCTCGCAGACTGCCAGCCCGGGGAAGCGCGATGCCCTCTAAGGGAGAGTTATTTGGAGGAAGGGAGATTTGCATGTGGCTGCTCTTGGCTCCCTTTAGGGATTCCACAGATCGCCGGTCCTCTTCCCTGCTCTCCACCTGTGCCTCGAGCCTGCAGTGTGCCTGTCACACCCCATCAGCTCCCTGGGAGGTTATGATCCGCTGTCAGGGCCACCCAAAGGGCAGGAGCCTTGCCTGATATTTCTGTGTGTCCTCGGCCTCACCCACGAGGCATGGCGATGGGGAGGCCTCAGAGACTCCTACTAAACAAAACGACTGAGGGTGCATGTGTCACCTCCCCAGGGCGCCTTAACCTGCGGTTCCGCCTGGGAACTCCGTGGGGCAGGGCCCTCGTCTGGTCCATAGGACTATCCACAGGCAGTCGGGATTTGCCCAGCCTCCTCCACGGCTGCGCTCTGGACCTGATGGGTCCTTCTTTGTGCCCTTGGCTTCATTCGCTGGGCACACAGGAGACCCCAGAAGACATGCGCGGAGTGAACTCCCACCCCGAGTTTCCCCCCTTAGACCGCCCCGACTACTGGTTTTTGCGTCCCAGATATCCTTGAGGTCTAGGGGCCTTGTCTGATACGCACAGGCTCCGGGAGGCGGACACTGAGCAGAAACAACCACTAAAATGCCCTGATTTTTGGCCATGTGTGACCTCCCTAGTGGCACGGGCCCTGAGCCACCCGTGGCTGTGCGCCTGGCTATCCCAGCGCAGGCCTCTGAGCAACAGCCCCTGCCCGGAAACCACGGCCGGGGCAATCCCGGCCGGGTCGGTTCGCGCCCAGCCCAGCTTAGGTGGCCGGGCGGGAACTTGGCACACCTGGCGCCGTCCCCTGACCCCGCCCCGGGCTGGGCCGCACCCCGGAACGCTCTCTCCGGACGCCAGCGGCGGCGGTGCAGGGCCATGGCGGCGGCTCCAGCGGTGTGCGCCTCGCAGGGGCCCCCACCGAGTGCACCGTCCGCGCCGGCAGCCGCGCCCGCACCGGCGACCGGCCTGGGCCGCTGCCGGATGGCGCTGCTGTTGGCCGTGGCGCTGGACGTGGCGGGCATGGCGGCGCTGCTGACCGGCGTGTTCGCGCAGCTGCAGGTGCGCGGCCGCGACTTCGGGGACCTGCTCATCTACTCGGGCGCGCTGCTGGTGTTCCTGAGCCTGCTGGGCTGGATCCTCTGGTACACGGGAAACATCGAGATCTCGCGCCAGGAGCTGGAGCGCGACTACGGCCTGCGGCCCTCGGCGCTCGCCCGCCTGGCGCGCAAGCTCTCCCGCCGCTGGTCGGCGCCCGCCGCCGCCGGCCCGCGCCCCACGCCCGGCTCCCGGAGAGCGCGTCGAGCCACCCGCGCGCCCCCGCCGCCTGCCGCCGGCTCCCGCCGCGTGCGCCTGCAGCTCGCCACGCTCGAGGCCGGGCCCGGGGCGGCGGGCGCGGGCAGCGAGTGAGGCCCAGGTGAGGGGCAGGCGGGCGGGGCGGCGGGGGAGACGCAGGGCCGGAGGGAGGGACGTGGGGGAATGGAGACAGACGGGGAGCGTTGGACAGGTGGAGACTGAGAGCGGCCAAGGGGAGGTAGAGTGCCAGGGCCAGTGGAGACCGGATGGGGAGACTAGCCGAGAACCGCAGACAGCAGGCACAGGTGCGGAAGTGGGGGAGGCTGTGAGACCCTGCCCTGGAGGTGAGGTGGGAAGTGTGGCGGCCGAGTCACAGGCCCCCCACGGGGAGATCCGCACTCGCTCCAGCCGCACCAGGCCCCCCCCCCCCTTTTTTTTTTTTTTTTTTTTTTGGTTTCGTTCTGGTTTGGTTTTGTTGTTGTCTTTTCGGGTTGTTTTGAGACAGGGTCTCTCACTGTCACCCAGGCTAGAGAGCAGTGGCGTGATTTTGGCTCACCGCAGCCTGGACCTCCTAGGCTCAAGCAATCCTCCCACCTCAGCCTTTCAAGTAGCTGGGACTACAGGCGTGCACCACCTTGCCGGGCTAATTTTTGTATTTTTAGTAGAGACGGGGTTTTCCCATGTTGGCCAGGCTGGTCTCAAACTCCTGAGCTTATGGGATCTCCTCTCCTTGGCCTCCCAAAGTGCTGGGATGACAGGTGTGAGCCATCCAGCCTGGCCCAGTCCCCGTTTAATCCCCTTGATGTAACTGGGTCTCTGAGGTCACTACTATTAACCATCTCCATTCTGCAATGGAGGAAACTGAAGCACAGAAAGGCACCACTTTTTCCCAAAGCCACACAACACGTAGGTGGAGGATCTGGGATTCTCCTGACCTGTAGTCCTAGGAGAGGAGGAGTAAGAAAGACCAACCGAGGCAGAAGAAGTGAAGCCACCACACATTCACTCGCCTTTCCCCTCTACCTTCTATCTCTTTCCTAAACACACCTCTCCAGCTTGCTGCCTCTGCTCAAAGACCTGCTGTGGCTCCCTCTTCACCTTTGGTTAAACTGAAGCACTCACTGGGCTGTGGAGGCCTCACATTTTGTCCCCATTTCTCCTGCCTTTCCACAGTAATGATGTCTCTCAGTCTACAGATAGCCAGTTGGTCCCTGTTCCTGCTCTTCTCTATACCAGGAGTGCCCTTGGCTGTCTCCACTCCACCCAGAAAAATTCTCACGTGTTTAAGATCCAACTCAATTTCTCTGGCTTTCTTTGGATCTTCATATTGTCTGAGTGACTCCTCTTGCTGCGTGTATGGCCATCTGCTGGGTCTGTGTTGGTACTGTCTCTCCCATCTGACGGAGAGTGCCTCGAGGGTAAGACCAGATTCCTGGTGCCCTTGTTCCTAGCATTGCCCAGCAAAAAGGGTGAAATCAGGAAAGGTTGGTGGTTGGGTAGGAAGGTGGAAGGATGGATGGATGAATGGATGGAAGAATGGATGGCTGGATGGGTGGATGGGTGGGTGGATGGGTAGATGAGTGGGTGGGTAGATGGGTAGATGAGTGGGTGAGTAGATGGGTAGATGGGTAGATGGATGGGTGGATGGATGGATGAATTGTTTGATGGATGGATGGGTGAATGGATAGATGGATGTGTGGATGGATGGGTGAATGGGTAGATGGGTGGGTGGATGGGTAGATGGGTGGGTGGATGGGTAGATGGATGGGTGGATGGATGGATGAATTGTTTGATGGATGGATGAGTGAATGGACAGATGGGTGGGTAGATGGGTAGGTGGATGGGTAGATGAATGGGTGGGTGGATGGGTAGATGGGTGGGTGGGTGGATGGGTAGATGGATGGTGGATGGGTAGATGGATGGGTGGATGGATGAATTGTAGGATGGATGGATGGGTGGGTAGATGGGTAGGTGGATGGGTAGATGAATGGGTGGGTGAATGGGTAGATGGGTGGGGGGGTGGATGGGTAGATGGATGGGTGGATGGATGGATGAATTGTTTGATGGATGGATGGGTGAATGGACAGATGGGTGGGTAGATGGGTAGGTGGATGGGTAGATGAGTGGGTGGGTGCGTGGGTGGATGGGTAGATGGATGGGTGGATGGATGAATTGTTTGATGGATGGGTGGGTGAATGGACAGATGAATGGGTGAATGGGCAGATGGGTGGGGGGTGGATGGGTAGATGGATGGGTGGATGGATGGATGAGTTGTTTGATGGATAGATGGATGAATGGACAGATGGGTAGGGGGTGGATGGGTGAATTAATGGGTTGGTTGACACAGAGATGTGGTTGAATTGATGGATGGATGGGTTGTTTTGTGGGTAGATGTGGGTAGGTGGTGGATTGGTGGATGAACCATGAATGGATATGGCTGGGGAGGGAACCTTGCCTGATATTTCTCTGTATCTTTGGCCTCACCATGCAGCATGGTACTGGGGAGGCCTCAGAGACTCCTAGTGAACAAAAGGAATGAGGGTGCCGGTGTCACTGCCCTGCGGCACCTTACCTTGCGGTTACACCTGGGAACTCCTTGGGGCAGGGGCCTTGGCTGGTCCATAGGACTATCCATAGACAGTCGGGGTTTGCCCAGCCTCTGTGCATGCTCTGGATAGGTAGATGGGTGAATGGGAGGTTGGATGGATCGTTGGGGCTGATTGATGGATACACAGATGAGTGGATGAATGCATTTATTGGAATATGGATGGATGGGTGACTGAATCCATCTCTCAAATAGGGGTTTTGTAAAAGAATTAAACCTTCCTGGCCAGGCGCGGTGGCTCAAGCCTGTAATCCCAGCACTTTGGGAGGCCGAGGTGGGTGGATCACGAGGTCAAGAGATCGAGACCATCCTGGTCAACATGGTGAAACCCCGTCTCTACTAATGGTGCAAAAAATTAGCTGAGCATGGTGGCGCGTGCCTGTAATCCTAGCTACTCCAGAGGCTGAGGCAGGAGAATTGCCTGAACCCAGGAGGTGGAGGTTGCGGTGAGCCGAGATCACGCCATTGCACTCCAGCCTGGGTAATAAGAGCGAAACTCTGTCTCAAAAAAAAAAAAAAAAAACCTTCCTATCCAAGGACATTCTATGTAGGTAAAGAATTAACTTTTCTCCTATGCATCCAGAATGTTACCACTTATATATTATTTTTATTGAGATGTGAGGAAATAGTCGCCCCAATCATACTCCATGTGCTGTGGTTCAGTTCAGGGGGTGGGGTAAAAGAGCATGAACAACCGCTTGCTCGGGTGAAGCGTGAGCTGGCATGGAGCTTGGCATGGAATGCAACATAAGCACCTGCAGTTACTCTCTCCTTTGAAAATCCTGGCTGAGCACGGTGGCTCACGCTCATAATCCCAGCACTTTGAGAGATCGAGGTGGGAGAATTGCTTGAACCTGGGAGGCGGAGGTTGCAATAAGCCAAGATCACACCATTGGGCGACGGAACGAGACCCATCTCAAAAAAAAAAAGGAAAATCCTTTATGAGGCCAGGCACAGTGGTAATCCCAGCACTTTGGGAGGCTGAGGCAGGTGGATAACCTGAGGTCAGGAATTTGAGACCAATCTGGCAAACATGGCAAAATCCCATCTCTACTAAAAATACAAAATTTAACTGCGCATGGTGGCAGACACCTATAATCCCAGTTACTCTGGAGGCTGAGGCAGGAGAATCACTTGGACCTGGGAGACGGAAGTTGCAGTGAACCAAGATCACACCACTGCACTCCAGCTTGGGCAACAGAGTGAGACTCCATCTCAAAAAAATAAAAAGAAAATCCTTTACGTAGGTTAAACGTCTAACAGCTGCACAGGCCTCCACTCTTGGAGGTTCCACCAAAGACTCAGACCACACTGACTTGAACGCAGGCCCCACTTACAGGGACAATGAGCTTGTTCAAACCCAGGACTCCCCCTTATTGGGGAAAGTGAGCAGTCTCTGGCATGTGAAGGACAGAGAACCTGCATTTTAGCAGAGGGACACACGGATTCTAGCTCTGGTAGCCCCCACAGCCTCCGAGAACACCATGAGTAGCAGAGCAGAGCCATCCCCATCGCTCTGTCGTCCGGGCTGGAGTGCAGTGGTGCAATCATGGCTCACTGCAGCCTCCATCTCCTGGACTCAAGCCATCCTCCCACCTCAGCCTGCCAAGAAGCTGGGGCTACAGGTACCAGAGACGGGGTCTCCCTATGTCACCCAGGCTGGTGTCAAACTCCTGGGCTCAGGTGATCCTCCTGCTTGCAGCCAAAGTGCTATAGTGAAGGTCCGAAATGAGGGCCACGATGCCCGGCCTCCCTCTGTCTTCTCTGCGTCTGCCTGTCTCCCTCTCTCCCTCTGAGTCTCTGTCTCCCAGGTCTCTTTCTTTGTCTCTGTGCCTCTGTCTTTTCCCTTCTGCGTCTCTGTGTCTCCCCCTCTTCTGCGTCTCCCCCTCTCTCCTTCTGCGTCTCCCCCTCTGCCTGTCCCTGGCTCACATTCCCATGGATTCCAGTGGGTAAAAGGCACACACTTATGCACGAACTCAGCAAATAAGGGCATGCAGGGATGAAGGAGCAAGTGTGTGAGGGGCAAGGGCGGGTGGAAGGGGCTCCCTGCCTCTGCCCACCAGGTGCACCCGGAACACAGGGACAGGAGGGGTTCCTGAGCAGTCACTCACTCCACCCTCCCTCCCACAGCAACCCCTCGGCCCCAGCTGTCAGGACCAGAATGAGATGTGCAGCTGCCCCTACATCGGCGGCCAGCAGGATGCCCCCTGCCCCCCTCCCTCCTCACCTGGATAAAAAACAGATTCGCCTCAGCACTGCCTGTCTGTCTCGGAGAGGGACCTGCTGGGGTGGGAACGGAGACGAGGTGGCCTGCTTCCTTCTAGGGCCCAGGTGGGCCTGGCCACACCCGAGGTGAGGCTGCCCCTGCCCTGGGGAGCCCGGGAGCCCTGGGGATATAGGCGTCCAGGCTTATGCTGCCCCTTCTCAGAGCGGACCAGGGAGGGGGTGGGGGGAAGGCTCTCAGCCCAGACCCCTCTATTCTACCCAGACCTCCCTGGGTGAGTTTGGATTCTCTGAGAAGCAGACACAGAGGCAAATTGGATTTGTGAGATGTTTATTGGGGAAACACTTTTGAAGGATAACTTGGTGCAGGGAGATGGAGGGATGGAGAGGGTGAGTCCTGGACCCCAGCGCCCTCCAGGAAAATTGCCCTGGCCACTAGGAGCTGGGAGCTTGCTTTGTCATCCATGGAGGAGGCCCCTGCCCTTCAAGAAGGCACCTTGTATCCGGAACCCCCACCCCTTGCCTCGCCAAGCTCAGTTACTGGTGGAGAGCCACCCATGGTCACCTAGGTGCATCCAGGGTGGGGGCAGGGACACTTCATGTGGCAGGAGACTGAGGGGGATGTTTCCCCAGCTGTGCCATGCCCCTCCCCGCCAGTCCAGGCACTGCTTAGCCCCCGCCACCCCCACACGCCCCTAGTCACCGCATTTCAGACCCTCCTTCCAGCCCTCACACACCTCTGCCCCGCCAGTCCAGGGCCCCTGTGAGCCCAGCTCTCCTTCAGCTCAGATCCCCTACTTACGTCCCAGACCTCTCTCATTCCAGGGTCCCTCAGCTTACACCCCCATGGCCACAGCCTGGGCCCCCGGAGCTCCCATCCCCAAGACCCCGGCAGCCCCCACCTGTACCCCCACTTCTGTGTGCACGGTGCCTCTGCTCCCCACAGCTTTCAGAGAAGAGACCATGCGTCCACACACCATATCTGTATTGAGCGCTCCCCTGGGGACACCCCTAATCTTCGTCTTCCACGCCCTCCGTCTCCTCGCCTTCTTCTGTCCCTTCCCCCTCGGTGCCCCCCTCCGTGTCCTTGCCCGATTTGGCCGTGGAGATGGATGTCTTCTTGCTCCCTCGTTCCTTGGAGAGCAGCGAGACCCTCCGGGACAGGTCGCAATTACTCGCCAGGAAGCTGGGAGTGTGCAGCAGGTCCCGGCGCCTGGCCCACCTGCAGAGAGCGAACCGCTCAGCCCCGGCAGGGTGCCCCCCCGGGCTCCCTGGGGATGCAGGCACCGACCCCAGCCCAGGCCCACTCACCAGAACAAGCAGATACCGCAGCTCAAGAAGAGGAGGCCGCCGCACGTCCAGCCCAGCGCCCACATGTGCTTCCTCCGCATGTTTTCTGGACAAGGGAGGCAGGGTTAAGACCCGGGGCTCCTGCGCCAGACCCACCCCCCAGGGAGCTGGGACCCGGGGCCCTCACCATCTGGACGCTGGTGGTAGCAGACCCCATCACGATAGCAGCACCGTAGGCGCAGGCAGAGGTTGGGGCTGTCGATGGCCGCCTGGCCCCCACAGCTCTCCCGATCCCACACGTCACCCTCACAGCCTGGAGACCAACCACCAGTGGCTGGCTTCTTCACAGCGCCCCGCCTCAAAGGCCTCAGACACAGGATGCCAAGGCCACGCTCCCAGGCTGCCTTCCTGGTGCTTACTCTGCGGGACTCAGGGGTCCAGGCCCAGCCCCTCCTCCCTCAGACCCACGGGTCCAGGCCCAGCCCCTCCTCCCTCAGACCCACGGGTCCAGGCCCAGCCCCTCCTCCCTCAGACCCAGGAGTCCAGGCCCCCAGCCCCTCCTCCCTCAGACCCAGGGGTCCAGGCCCAGCCCCTCCTCCCTCAAACCCAGGAGTCCAGACCCCAGCCCCTCCTCCCTCAGACCCAAGAGTCCAGGCCCCAGCCCCTCCTCCCTCAGACCCAGAGGTCCGATCTGGGCTCTCCTCCCTCAGACCCAGGATTTCATCCGCTGCTCACTCCATGGATAGAAGAATCCCTGGATTCCATTCCCATCTGCGAGAGAAAGGGCAGTGTTGGGCTGTGTGGGGCCAGGCGCCCTCCTCAGAGCCCTCCTCTGCTCCTGGCCTCACCTGCGGAGCCCTGAAGTAGCAGGAGCAGACCCAGTGCGGGGATCCCAGAGCCCAACATGTCGCCTCCCCAGACCTCCGGGCCGCTGTGGGGAGAGGCCTCACAGGACCACGCCCTAGCAACCGGCCAGGCCCCACCCCCCAGCCCCCCAGCCCCAGGATTCTGAGTTCTGTTGCTAGGGAGTCCCCGAAGCAATGGGGATGGGGGGGTGGGGGCTTCACACCAGCCTGGCCATGCCTGGTCCATGGCGTTGATTCTTTAGGGACTTGGTGGAAGAGGGGGGCGTCTCAGGTTTAGAAGAGCCTCTTGGCAGGCCGGGAGCAGTGGCTCACGCCTGTAATCCCAACACTTTGGGAGGCTGAGGTGAGGGGATCACTTGAGGTCAGGAGTTCAAGACCAGCCTGGCCAACATGGTGAAATCCTGTCTACTAAAAATACAAAAATGAGCTGAGCGTGGTGGCGGGCACCTGCAGTCACAGCTACTCAGGAGGCTGAGGCATGATAATCACTTGAACCGGGCAGGCAGAGGTTGCAGTGAGCAGAGATTTTGCCACTGTACGCCAGCCTGGGCGACAGAGCGAGACTCCATCTCAAAAAAAAGAAAAAAACAACAACAAAAAGCCTCCTTGGCAACTTTTGGCAGGAAAGAGATGTCTGGAAGGGCTTGGGGGTCTGCGGCCATATCACCCAGGGTGCCCTGAGGGGTGCGGAACTGGGAGAACTTGCTAGGGATTCCTTTCCTTAGGAAACATGCCTGAGAAGGTGGATTCAGGTGGCCCAAAGGCCCAGGAGACTCTGTAGCTAGGGAGTCTCTGGCCTTAGCAACCAGGGGAAGGAGACAGAGACCCATCACTGAGCCCCATTGTTGGGGAGGGTCCCCCGGGCAACAAGGAGACTGGGAAGAGGTGAGACAATGGAGGCCGGAGCCTGAGTCAGGGTCTCCAGGTCCAGGGGTCCTGAGAGAGGCTTTTCATCTCAGGCACGCCAGGCCTGCTGTCTAGGGAACGTTTCTCAGGGAAGGGGATAGGCAGGGTGCAGTGGCTCACACCTGTAATCACAGCACTTTGGGAGGCCGAGGCAGGCGGATCCCCTGAGGTCAGGAGTTCAAGACCATCCTGGCCAACATGGTGAAACTCCCTTCTCTACTAAAACTACAAAATTTAGCCTGGTATGGTGGTTACTTGCCCGTAATCCCAGCTACTCGGGAGACGAAGGCAGGAGAATCGCTTGAACTCAGGAGGCGGAGGTTGCAGAGAGCCAAGATCATGCCACTGCACTCCAGCCTGGGTGAAGGAGAGAGACTGTGTCCAAAAAAGAAAAAAAAAAAACAGGGAAGGGGACAGGCCACATGGGCCCCTGCTGAGATTTGAGGGCCTGGTGGGCTGGAGCTGCTCGGAGGCTGTGACAGTGGCCCCTGGGCAGGGAGCCCCCATTTCCCTCCTGGATCTCAGTTTCCCTCCTGTGAACAGAGGTTAGAGGGTGAAGGGGGGGAGTCCGCAAAGTGGAGATCCTGAAACTTCCCCATGATTTCCCCCGAGGTGACTGGGAGGCGGCCGGGAGGAAACTTGGCTTCCAAGAAGAGGAAGCGGGACCGGGGGGCCAGGTTGGGACCGTAATCCCTAGTGCACACCAGCTCATCCATCAGCTTCACAGCACAGTGACCAGGGAGTCTCCACTCGCCTGGGACTGTCTCTAAGCTAGAACTCCTGGGTCTGAGGGAAAAGGGGGTTGGAAACCCAGACACCTGCACTAGAGGTAGAAGGGGCTGGGACTGGACTCCTGGGTCTGAGGGAGGAGGGGATGGGGTCTGGACTGCTGGGTCTGAGGGAGGAGGGGCTGGGACTGGACTGCTGGGTCTGAGGGAGGAGGGGCTGGGGTCTGAACTGCTGGGTCTGAGGGAGGAGGGGCTGGGGTCTGAACTGCTGGGTCTGAGGGAGGAGAGCTGGCGTCCGGAATCTGGTCTGAGGGAGGAGGGGCTGGGGGTCTGGACTCCTGGGTCTGAGGGAGGAGGGGCTGGGGGTCTATGTGGGGAACACTCCCGTGTGAGACCCCTAAAAGGCGTGAGTCTCACTAGACGGTGAGTTTGATCCCAAACACAGTTTCCTACTGGAGGCAGTCGAGCTATCCGGAAATATAGGAACTGAAAGATGAATGATCAGTTTCTAATATCAACCACAATATCGTTTGGGCCTAAAACTATGCGTTGCTGCTAGACCGAGTAACCCCCTACCAGCAACCAGTTCCTGCTTTTAACCTTTTTATGACTTTAAGAATAAGTTTTAACCTTTACTTACCTAACTGCCTTGTACCCTAGATAATGGTTTAACTGTCAATATTTGCAAAGCAAAATGCCACCATAAGGGATGGCTTTGATTCCTGACTCAGAGATTCCTGAATGGGGAAGTTGAGTTAAGTTGAGTCAGGAGTTAAGTTGAGACAAAGGAGAATCTGATTAAAAGATATCCTGGGCCGGGCACGGTGGCTCAAGCCTGTAATCCCAGCATTTTGGGAGGCCGAGGCGGGTGGATCACGAGGTCCAGAGATCGAGAGATCGAGACCATCCTGGTCAACATGGTGAAACCCCATCTCTACTAAAAACACAAAAAAGTAGCTGGGCATGGTGGCGCGTGCCTGTAATCCCAGCTACTCGGGAGGCTGAGGTAGGAGAATTGCTTGAACCCAGGAGGCGGAGGTTGCGGTGAGCCGAGATTGCGCCATTGCACTCCAGCCTGGGTAACAAGAGCGAAACTCCGTCTCAAAAAAAAAAAAAAAAAGATATTCTGATGAGCAAAACCAAAAAACCTTTTCACATCTCAGTTCTAAAACAAGGTCAAACCAGAGATACCTGCAGCCAGGAGGAATGATGTTTGGATATAAACAAGCCTTGTGGCCGGGCGCGGTGGCTCAAGCCTGTAATCCCAGCACTTTGGGAGGCCGAGGCGGGTGGATCACGAGGTCGAGAGATCCAGACCATCCTGGTCAACATGGTGAAACTCCGTCTCTACCAAAAATACAAAAAATTAGCTGGGCATGGTGGTGCGTGCCTGTAATCCCAGCTACTCAGGAGGCTGAGGCAGGAGAATTGCCTGACCCCAGGAGGCGGAGGTTGCGGTGAGCCGAGATCGCGCCATTGCACTCCAGCCTGGGTAACAAGGGCGAAACTCCGTCTAAAAAAAAAAAAAAAAAAAAAACAAGCCTTGTGAACAATGTTTGGATATAAACAAGTCTCATGAATAATGTTTGGATATAAACAAGCTTTGTGAATAATGTTTGGATGCAAACAAACTTTGTGATTGTAGAAAATTTTGTTACTTTTTACAACCATTGATCGCATATCTGACTTCTCTATTGTATAGGCCACGTGAGGCATACATTTACATTCCTCTTACTATGACGTAAACCAAAGCCAAGAAAATGTATTTATTCCTGGCCTTTGAAAAATAAAATTTGCTGTTTAGGCACAGCCTATCAGCCCTCCAGACGCCTCGCTTTTTCTCTCTGTCTTTATTAATTTTCCAGGTGCACTCCCTCTTCCAGGTATTGGGACCCTCTTGCAGGTCGAGAGACCCCCGGGCAGACGTGCCTACCCGTCCCGGACGGTCCACGACATCTGGCGACCACAACACGGGGCCTGGACATGAGGGATTACAGTGACGCACATCAGTTAAGTAGTGAGGCTGCAGCAGTAAGTTTTTGAGTTGTTTTCTTAATCGTGTATATACAAGTGTTGATTTTCAAGTTTTCAGTCTGGAGTAAAACATGGGGCATTTAGAGTCTAAGGAATGTAATATGTTCGTACAGCTTTTACAGTCCATGATTAAGTTGCATGGTTATGATATTAAGATAAAAACTGTTGAAGAATTTGTGCACATTGTTAGGGAAATGTGTCCATGGATCCCTGAAGGTGGCTTTCTCGATGAAGCCACATGGAACGTCATAGGAGAGAAAATCCATCAATTTTGTTTTCTCGATAAGTCTTTGCCTCAGTGTGAAGTTTTGCTTTCTGTTTGGCCTAAACTACGCGAATGTGTTTGTCCTTCTGTTTCTCTCTTAGAAAATTTGACCACAGAAGCTTTGCCTCCGCATGATTGGGGCGGGGGTACTCGCAGCAGGGCCAAAGGCCCAGAAACTGCTAGCTCAGTTTTAAACTGACATTTTTCTTCCTTTCTCTGCCGACTGCAAGCCCCACCCGCTCAGCTCTCAGGCAAGCTACACCACCTCAGGTGGCCAAATTTGCATCCAAAATACAATTTACGGAAAGCTTTCTAACTTTTTGTAAAGCAAGTGACTTGTTAGCTCATTAAAGTGTGAGGCCTGCAACTGCAAGGTTGTTGGTTCAAGTCCTCAGTAAATCTAGTCTTTTAGAAAAATTAAAGTTATTGTTTGGGCACCTCGTGGAATATTTACTCTAACTCCTGATAAGCCTATAGCGCAGCTTCTTGTCATACCTGTGAATACCTCTATAGGCAAACCCCTTTCCACTGAGACTCGAGGTTGCTCCGCTTTTGGATCCTCAAATCACGCTTATTGGGTGCAGTCTATTACTGACTCGCCCTGAATTGACTATATGGATTGCTAGCAAGCCTTTTAAGGGTCTGCTAGATGCTAGAGTTGATATTTCTGTTATTTCATCTAATCACTGGCCTTTACAGTGGCCTTCCTCCCCTTCTATGACTTCTTTACAAGGAATTGGAATGAGTAATAATCCTGAACAATCTACTAATTTATTAAAGTGGACTGATGCTGAGGGACATGAGGGATATTTTCGTCCTTATATCCTTCCAGGACTCCTGTTTAATTTGTGGGGTCGAGATGTTTTAGAAGCGATGGAAGCAAAACTTACTACTGGAAATTTTGCTTGGCAGATTATGAAAAGACAAGATTACCGAGAAGGAAAAGGCTTAGGTAAAAATTTACAGGGAGCACCGGAGCCTATTTCTCCTTCTCCAAAATATGACAAACGAGGTTTAGGGTATTTTTCCTAAGGGCCACTGATTCTCCCGATGCCCATGCTGATCCTATTTGCTGGAAGTCTGATTCCCCAGGTTGGGTAGAGCAAT